GAAAATTTCGATCATTGCTAAGAGAAATGGTGTGTGAACCTTTGTGGCATAAAGTAATGAGGTTGATTCTCATTGAAACAGTACGATTATTACTAAGTGAAAACGTGTCATATTAATGACGTGGTATATAAAAGTTTGTGATATACAGTGTTGCAAAAATTGGTGAAAGTTCATATTCCCTCTAATAATGTTGTGGTCATGAAGATGGTTTGGAAAGAAAATATTGAATGTCTCCTTAGATACTGGGAGGTAACCTTGTGTTGCGTGTTCAATAATATATTTTCTTCTGTGTGCCATTGGTTTAGGCAAAATTTGCATGTGATTTTCCTAATTGATCGAAATTCCCTATCATGTGCTAAATTATTTAGGGTACAAGATTGTGCATAATAATTTATTTGAAGCTTCGCTCAGAATATATAGTAAGTTATGTCTTGTGTTTGAAATATGAATATTTGGAGGGAATGGTTTTTGGTACTTGCCGTAAGTTCCACTTATTTGATGGCTGGCTAAGAGATTATTTATGGTTAAACTCTTTTCAACTTATCAACGAATATAACCCTTTTGGTATGAATAGTTTATCGGTTTGGGCGCAACTCTTGTTTCGAAAACGCTTATAAATTTTTCGAAATCGTTTGCAACTTAACTCGGGATGCTGCTAAAACTTAACTGCTTTGAAAATTCATTTTCTCGAAACTCGGTCTAAAGACTGGGTTAGACATAAGAAAAACAGATGTAAAATATCGAACAAGCATGTAAAACTAGATCCGTTCATACTGGCGAACCGGGTAAATTATTAAAGTCTGGAAATAAAGACATGCAAGTCCAAAACTGAAAAATGTAGCGGAAGTCTTAAAAGCGTGGCATAGTTATACAGACAATTTATTAAAAGTCCACAAATAGGAAAGCTCGGCCAAATCCACGACCAACACCACCACAGCTGAGCTCACACCTCCCCGCCGACCCTGTCATCTGAAAAACAAGTAATAATGGGGTATGAGCACTAAATTATCATGCTCCGTGGGAACCCATACTATAGTAAACAGCAGTAATAACATCAATATCATGATCGCAGGTATATAAGTAAACTGAAATCTCCCGGACACTTTGGCCGGTCCCGGACACTCTGGCCAGTAACTGAATCTGTAATCATCCGGACACTCTGGATGGTAACTGTGTGCACACTGTAGTGGAATATTAAGGTAAACTAGGGCCACTACCAGAACTTAGGGGAGAACTATCGCCTCAACCCATAAGCGGACTTATATACATACCTTTATCATGATCTAGCTATTATACTCAATGTAATACCCAGTCTAGGTCCCCACCTGTTCTGCTTTGGAAAAATATGTAAGTGTTGTGCTGGTAGCTGGCTCTTCAAGCTTCACCGAAAAACGAAAATGGTGCTAGGGCCTTTGCTCGTGCTTGCTCGGGGTTCTAAAGGCCTTGGTTCGACTCAGTGGTTAAAGGCTGAAGATGGTGGCTTTTATAAGTCCCTTACACTCCCAAAGAAGCTTTGAACTTAGCTTGGTCGAGGTGAATTTGGTTAGAATGGAAGACAGCTCGGTGTCCCTTTTCTCCCGCGACTAGGCGTGCATGAAGGAGCTCTCGGCCTTTCTCTCTATTCACTCTATATGAGCTCGAAATTTCTAAGTGATAAATGACATTCTTCAGCTGAATTAATGAGGCTTAATAGGGAGAGCACATGGGCGGAGTAAACAAGGCAAAAGAAGGGGACAAAAGCTCTACCAAGTACAATACAGTACGAAATTATCTTATTACATGCCAACATAAACGTAAACATAATAAATGTCCAACTGTCGTTGGACACCACCACACCACTGCTCGACTCACGCTCCAGACTGTACTCCATCACCTAAAAAGATAAAATAGTGGGGGCGTGAGCACTAAATCACCATGCTCCGCAGAAACCAACACTGAATATACATCACATATAATCAAATATCATGAACTCAGCATATACATAAATAAAACTGTACTGTACTGGTGAAACATCCAGAAACTGGCCGGATTATCATGTGATCACAATCTGGGGGTCGCCTCTCTAAAAAACCCAAGATGGAAATAACTACCATTCAAAACTGGGTGAGTGACTCAGGATGTGAAAAACTTTCCATACAAGACCGAGTCAGCATAACTGGACCATGAACGGGGTAACTCAACCGTTCGGGTAAATATCTACATACATATCTCACACATGATACCAATACTGTAACACCCCGCTCTACTATCTTTGAAAAATGAGAGTTAAATTTTTGCTTTTATTTTTGAAAGATCGTGCGAGCTGGTTTTCGAAAATACTAACTTGTTGCAGGATGCTACAGATAAAAATTTGCTTATCGTACTTATACAGACATAAATAAACATGCAACCAAATCAATCCACTGCAGAGATAATGGAATCACACATGCACATCCGACTGTCTCGCACTGTCGAGTTTAGCGAAAGCTTAACTGAATAATACAGGCATATATATTACATATTAATACATGTTCATGAACTTAGAACATAAATTGTGCGTAAAATGTCCACTGCTCATGACACGCTTTCCACGTGTGCTCACCCAGCACACTGAACTCCGACACCTGAAATAGGAAAGACTGTGGGAATGTGAGCACAAATATGTGTGCTCGTGGGAAGCTAGAACTGTAATAATCTCAACTGTAAGCATAAAATTAAAAGCAGCATATAATAAATAAGTTGTACTGTAATTTAAACTTTTCTTAAACTTTAACTGTGGTCAATAGACCCTTGTCGGCTTTGGCCGCTCGTGTGCACACCACCTGTA